CCGCTCAAGTACCAGATCCGCTGCGTCGAGATGATCCCGGACGGCCAAGGTACGCATTTGTCGCATCCATGCACGTACAAAGTCGTTCGACAGGCTACGTCGTGACGACGACCGAAGGCCGCGTCGGCCTCGAGTACTTTGACGCCGCCAAGAAAGGGTATGCGTTCAAGTGCCACCGACAAAAGGTGAGCGACACCGATACGCTCGTGTACCCTGTCAACGCCGTCGCCTTCCACCCGACATTTGGCACGTTCGCGACCGGCGGCTGCGACGGTGTCGTCAACATGTGGGACGGCGACAACAAGAAGCGCATTTGCCAGCTCGCCAAGTTTGGTGCGAGGTAGGACCTCTTGCATCTCTGTTGCACGACCTTGTATGTGGCTAGCGTCGCGTCCATGGCCTTCAACCACGACGGGTCCAAGCTGGCCGTGGCGGCGTCCGACACGTACGAAGAAGGCCCGAAAGAGTATGTCTTCGCGCCTTGTCGGTTCGTCGTCTCATCCCATCTCTCGTAGCAATCAAGACGACACGGTGTACGTCCGGTCGATCTCGGAGGCCGAGGTCCGGCCCAAGACCAAGGAGGCATAACCAAGCACAATGCACGATGCACGCGCTTGTCGTTTATGAGGAGCTTGTCGCCTTATGCATCGTATCGAGGATGAGGATCTAGTGGCCGAGCATGTACTGGGCAGGGCGGATCACATACGCGCTGCCACTCTCGCAGATGCCGACGCCCATGTCCTCGTCCTCGAACGCGGACACGATGTCGAGGCCGATCCAGCGCGAGTCGCCGCGGAAGCCGAGCCGGTGGTTCTGCTGCAAAATCGACGGCGAGTAGGCGGGCGCCGGCTCCTTGTGCTTTTGCTTCTTCTCTCTCGACGCGTCGTGCTCGCCGCACATGAGCTCGTTGTCAAGGCCTGCCACGTAGCAGAGCGAGCTCTGCGACGGCGAGAAGGCGAGGTACGCAATATCATACTTGAGCGGGCACCGCCACCTTGTCGCAGCAGGTGAGAGATGCAGAAGAGACGACGCTTTCGGTACCGGTTCCGGAGCTTCCACATGCGTGTGTCGTAGATGTACGCCACCTTGTCCTCGCCACCCATCGCGATCGAGTGGCCGTCGGGCGAGCACGCGATCGCGTACAAGCAGCCCTGCGACGGTGCGCCGTCTCGGGCAACGCGCTTGTTGCTCTTGGCGTCCCAAACCGAAAACTAGTTGGTCATCCAAAACATCCAGGAGCGAGAAGAAGCGACGCGCGCCTACTTGGTTGTACTCGGCCACAACGGCCGTCGAGGCAAGCGTCGGCGAGAAGGTCAGCGCGGTCGGGTGCATCACTGTCGGCTGCACCCACGTCGATTGCAGCGTCGTCGCATCAAAGAAGCGAAGTTCCTTGGCGAAAAAATGCGCCGTCGCCACCACCTAACGATGCAAATCTGCATACCTTGTCCACGCAAAAGAGGCGGACGTACGCTGGACGACGCGGTCGGGTCCAAGGCAATGCCAGCCCAGCCCACCTCGGCGGTTGTCGACGCAGTGAGCGAATGGCTGTCGAACTTGTGCTGCTTTTGCTTCTTGCGCTGGGGACTGCCCACGTCGTCGGTCGAGCCTGTGCTCTTGGTGTACAGGAACGCGGCGCCTCGGGCATCGATGGATGCAATCAACGGGTCTACACGACCATCATCATGAGCCACGAAGGGCGACGCGACGCAGCTGTCGTACTCGGGTGCGAGTCGGCGCGGGCGGCAATCGACTAATAGTCGAACACTGAGTCATCTCGCAGGATGATGGGACGGATACCTGAATCTCGTACTTGTGCACAGGCGTGGTCAAGAGCGCCTCGGACGCCATCGGCTTCATCTTGACAATGTTCGAGATGTTGGCACCTTGCGTGCCCTGCGTCACATCCGCCTGCTCGTCTGCGCTCAACGCCAAGTTGACGTGGCCTTCCAAGACGTCTTTCCCCGTCGCGTAGACGAACGAGAAGCGGTCCAACGACGCGTTCGTGCAGCGGAAGCGCGTCGGCTGGACGCTACCGGCCGAGAACTTGGCCTCGCTCAAGATCCCGCGCTGGAGCGTCGCGAGCTGCTCCGTCACGGCCTCGTCCTTCTTGAGCTGCTTGCGCTCATGGGCAGCGCGGCCCTTCTTGCCCTTGTACTCGATGACGACGTCGCTGCTGTCGGCTTGCGGCGTGGACATTGTATCAAA